AACCCAAATAGAAGACAGCTATCAATGGAACTTGACTATATGTATCTCTCCATTATATTAAATTGATAGGTCCTTACCTCAGTAATAAAAGAAGTCTGCATATAAGCAAGTGCATTTAACTCTGCTACAAGATTCAAGAATATTACCAAGGAGAATTCTCTATCTTTGTGTACATTCCTAGGATGACTGTTATTTTAAAGCTTTGCAGCTAGTGGGCATAACTAATAAAGAAAGCATTCTAGGATGGCTTTTGGTCATAAACCAAAAATAGAATTTAAATATTTAACTAAAATATTGATACTGGAGGTACTGCACTATCTAGAAGTTTTTCAGTCTGCAATGGACACAGGCTGGAGTTCGCAAACTTTTTTTAGGTTGATTTGGGAAAGAACCTGACAGCAGAAAGGCTTGGGATCTGCATGGGGTGGAGATGAAGGTGACAAGTTCCTGCAGTTCCTATAATTATAAATTCATATAATTGAGGAAGACAAATGTCCCCWCTGTCTCCTCTAGAGTTGGCTTCGTTTACCTTTAACAGTTCCAGGTCAAAGAGAAAGACGATAGCGAAGAATTTCTGCACTGCATGAGCAAGTCTGTCCAGTCCTGATGATGGATGAAGATTTCCTGTGTTTGTTTTTAACAGGCCTCTCTTGGTTATAAAAGCACATGTCTTTTTCCCCCTAGAGGATATGTTAATCAAGGCACATTGCAGGCCTCCAGGATAAGCTCATTTAGTCAGGGGGCAGAAGAGTGCACTATTCAGGGATACAGGCTCTGGGCTTGGACTGTCTGGGCTGGAGTCTGGCTCTGCAGCCCCACAGTTTAGCCACTTGCTAGGCCTCATCCACCCTGTGGGGTAGCTACTATTATTATTCCTGCTTTACAGAGCAGAGGCAAGACAGCAGCCACTGTGCCTGGCACTTTGCTCTCTAGGATCCAGGACAGAATAGTGACTCTTGAATGCTGGCTACTTTTGTTCGATGGTTACTAGTGTTTGGAGGTCACAGTCTGGAGGCCATACAGTCATTAGTGGAGGCACACTGTGTTTAGGTATAATATAACTTAATATAATGGAGAGATACATATAGTCAAGTTCCATAGCTGTCTTCTATTTGGTTCCTTTCTAGGACCCAAATTTGCATGCATGTTTAATATTTTTAATTAGTTTATTAATGTAGTAAATAAGTGCATACACTCTGGAGTTAGGATATGTGAGTTCCAACCCGCCTCTGTTTCTTACTACCTATGGAACTGCACATATATATATGAACTGGGTCCAACATCTTATCTAGGGGAGCCCAAAAGGGGTTTGCCTGTGGTATGGGCTCTGTTCTCATGGACTGTTTGCTGAAACCTGGTTAACTCCACGAGGTGCCCTACCCCAAACCAAACATGGCGTTACCATCCCAACCTTAACTATTTGGTGCCACTGTCAGAGAAGGCCACCTCCTTGGTCTTTGATGTTGATGTGTAAGCATGTGTGATAATTTGCTTGATAATTCTGTTGACTGAGCTCTGCGGGGAAAGCTTGCCACTTTGGATTGCTTTAGTTTCCTGCCTAACAGCAGAGCTGGTCCTTGGAGACTGTGAGTCGGGTTTTCCTCATGGCCAGTATTAATGTATTCCACACTCTAATCAAGTCACCACACTGATTTCCTAGACATGAAAACCTCCAAAATAATGCTGGAGAAGTGTTTTCTTTTTCTCCAGAATTTTGAGAAACAAAAATCTGACTTATTTCTAATACCGTACGAAAGAGAAAAATCAAGAGAAAATTTAAAATTTAAGAGAAATTTTAAATGAAAATTAAGTAGCTTCAAGACAAGAAACTTGACTGGTGCTTAATCAGGACCAGATTAATCATGGAGAATGTATTTCATATCTAAAGATCATTAAGAGTTTCTCTAAACACAGGATCATTGCTGTTTTAAAGTCATTCACATCAAAGTGCAATTTGTATTAATACCACCAATTTTTACCTTATATAAAACATTTTATTTGCATCCTACTGTGGTAGTTTGTGGCTGAATGGAAAATTTTATAGGGATGAAAAAAAAAAAACAACTCAGGTACCTGCCTGATAATTTAAGAGAGAGAAGAAAAAAACAAGTGTAGACTCAAGAACGGAAGACAGCGTAACGCATGCAAACAAATCGCCTTCCAAGCAAGGATGTTTGTTCTTATTCAATATCACATTTGCATTACCTCCCCCGTAAGCTTCCTGATTTCTGTTATTTTATTAAAATTGCGATCTACTTACATTTTGGCATTTTATGGAAAGAGACTGACATGAAAGTTGGTTAATGAGATAGAGCTCAGTAAACAAGCAAAGCCTTGCTAAATGTAGTCAAATGATGGACAGCTGCGAATTTAAAGGCATATGGAATTGAGAATATCTTTGATAACATTACAAGCCAGAACAGGGAAGTGGATTATAGATGGTATCACTAGAACATAGTAGGATCAAATTCATGTCATGCATATGTGTATGTGCTTGCTGAAGTCCTTAATGTTTATTTGATTATGTCCTATTTCCCCCATTCATCAATGCATAGTGACTCTTCCTCCTTGGAGAGCCTCTGCCTCCTTCTGTTTTAGGTGCACAGGCTCAGGGGTCTTGTGCAACCCTAGCCAAATCTGTCAGTATCTAATATCAGCTCCATCTCCACCGGGGATAGGAATTCTAAACCAGAAGTTCTCAAAGTGTGGGCTTGGGACCAGCAACACCAGCATTTCCTGGACTGTGGTAGAAATGCAAATTCTCAGACCTTGACTTAGATCTAGGGGATCAGAAACTTGAGTAGGGGCCAGCAATGTGAGTTTTAATGAGCTCTCTAGGTACTTCTTGTGCTCACCCAAGTTTGAGAAGCCACTGGCCCTACTCTTGCTGCTTTGTATCCCATCTGCCTGAATTGACTTCCAGGGTTTCTCTGTATCAATGAACTTTAGTTTTCTCTCTTTGACGTCCTAGTAGATGGGTCTCTGGCTTTTCTGACTGGGTTTATGCCCTGATTTCAGATTTACACTCTATTTCTCAGCTGAGATTACCATCTTGTCCACTAGACTGGAGCCCTATTGACTTCTTTCCCTAATACATCCAGTCTCACCATTACCCTTCTCCCTTCCTGGATGGGGGTCAAATTAATCAAGTCTTTGGGAACCAATTCCCACTGGGGCATGTCCATGACCTGTAATCCCATGCTGTATCTCCACCAAGCCCAAATAATACTGGCCTAGGTTGACCTCCAGTTACATCACTATCCTTTATCAGAATCTGTCTTATAATCTGGATAGCCGTCTTGACATCTTGAAGGCCCTTATTATACTTCCCTTTCCCTGTGGAACCAGGCTCAAGAGACCATATAAGTCACAACACCTATTGGAAATCTCCACTGAGGTCTTTGGAAGGTATAGAGAAGAGTCAGGTACATACTTTAGGATAAAACACATGACTGATTTGCAAATTCTATAGGGTAAAGACAGAAACAACAGAAAGCAAGTTGCATTTGAATACTTTAAGAAAACCTTGCCATTGCTACCTTGTGTTCTAGACATTCTAGATTTACCCAATGGATAAGACTTTTATCTTGTGGGCACTGGCATCCTTTATCCTTTGCTTTCCACACCCTCATTTTCCATGCATGGATCCAGCCTCCTGAATTTATTTCCTAGAAACCCAGCTCACCACTATCTAAGTAACAATTTCCAGGGGATCCAGGGCTGTAGAGTTTAATGTAATATGTGTACTCATCCATAGGCGCCCACAGGTAACCACCACTGTGAAAGGAATTGCAGACCACATTTATATGACTAGAAAATAATTCAACAAGCCTTTCAAAACACTCTCTATTCACCTTTAGTCAAAGCCCTTTTATGTGTTTAGCAATATTCACAGTACTTTGAGAGGTCTTTTTTTCCCCCTTGAATTTGGTTTAATGCATAGCTACTTGGCCTGATTTAAGCACAAGCTTTCTTCCTCTCAACGTGTGAGTCCTGCTTCTGCTTTCTCTTTGTCAAGTGGATAGAAAAGTTTATCAGTAAATGCTTAACAACAGCATTTATGTTTGTGATTATACTCTTCTAATTTTTTCATCAATTACTTACTCAATCCTATTATATGTCAGGCAACTATAAGAGAGGACTCATCTGTAAGAATCTTCTTGAAAGTCCTTTTCCAGTTAGATGGACCTTTTCCTGTCAGATGTGGTAGACAGGAATTTGCCTTAGAGAATGGATGGAATCCAGGGAGGGACTGAATGACATTCAAGATGTAGGGATTAGAGAAATTACATGTGATTTGCCTACACTACTTTACCTTCTAGGGAATGAAAATGAGGACCCAGGTCACAGAAACATTTACATAAAGACATGGACATCTTCTAATAGTTTGGCCCATTGTTCCAGCTATTTGTTTTTGTCTATGTGTCTGCCACCTGTATGCTTCAGGTTTCTAGAAATCAGCTTCCAGCCAGTGACTACTGCCTGGTTCCTGACTGCAAACTTGACCTCTTTTTCCTGTGAGAAAGTATCTGGCTTCTGTCTGTAGCACCCCTTTGGCTCAACATCTGTCTCTCCAACCAAATATATTCAAGGGTTCCCATGTCCCTATTTCTATCTTAAGTGCTGTGAGGAATTAAAACAAGTTCATTTTCTCCTTGGTATCACTGTTTTTTCTGTAATAATCCTACTAGACTATCTGGAAGACAAGACCCATGTCTTACTTTCTCTTTGGAAATTCCATCACATATCACATTGTACTCTAATACTGTGGAGTGGAAGAACTAGTAGAATAAACCCTAGACACCATTCTAGGATTTCTAGCACTCTTGGAAAAGTCAGTTTGGTTGGTGCTGGGTCACACTGGTTCACCTTGAGAGTGAAGGTCAACTTGACTCTAGGGAGAGATCCAGATCTACCACTGTCCATCATTCTGCAGTACCAGAAACTGAATAGCACGACCATGGGGCAGGGTGACCTCTTTGGCTAACAGTACCACTTACCTGATCTGAAGCCAGGTCAGCATGGGAGTCGTTCCTCCTCCAAATACCCAGACAGTGAAGAACACCAGGAGCAGCGTGGTGGTGAACATCATCTGTTTGGGCTGAGATTCCGTGTTCCTAATAGCTAAGGCAAACGCGATTGCTCCTCGCAAACCTATCAGGAAAACCCCAAAGAGAAAATAAGCTCCCTGCACGCTTCATTTTCTTTTCAATTGCTTTTATCTTTACAATTTACTAACACAATTACTTTTTTTTTTTTTTAGCCAAATGCTTTATCTGGAGGTAATTCTAGAAGCATATGGAGTTTTAAGAAATAACACCAAGCCGGGTGCTGTGGTGCACACTTGTAATCCCAGTGGCTTGGGAGGCTAAGACAGGAGGATCATGAGTTTAAAGTCAGCCTCAGCAATTTAGGGAGGCCCTAAGCAACTCAGTGAGACCCTGTCTCTAAATAAAATATATAAAAGGGCTGGGGATGTGGCTCAGTGTATAAGTGGACTTGAGTTTAATCCCCAGTACCAAAAAACAAAACAAAAACAAGACCCCCGCCAAAACCCCAGAGCATTCCTAAGTGCACTTTCCTTTCTTTCCCTATTGATAGCCTCTTTCAAAATTATTGCATCATATCTCAACCAGAATATTGACATCTCAACAGTCAAGATACAGAACATTTCTATCACCCCCATGATCTTTCCTGCTGGACTTTTATGACCTTTCTTCCCTCATGTGTCCACAACAACTGGCAGCAAGCCATCTGCTCTGGGTCCCTATGTTTTTGTTATTTGTCATCTTAGGGTTGTTATGTAAATAGAAGCATGAAGTCTATACCATTTTGGAATTGCCTTTCACCCACCCCCAGCATAATTCCCTGGGTCTCCACGTTGCTGTATGTCTCAGTACTCTGTTCCTTTGTATAATTGAGTGGTATCACCTGGGGAGGATGTTTCATGGTTTATTTGACCACTCACCTATTAAAGAACATTTAGACTGTTTCTAGTTGATGGCTGTTATAAAGAAGGCTGCTAAGATTGGCACATAGGTTTTTCTGTGAACATAAATTTTCATTTTTCTGAGATAAATGCCCAGGAGTACAACCACTGAGTTTTGAATGAGATTTGCATGTTTAGTTTTTAAAGAGATTATCCAAGTTTTTTTTCCAGAGAACCTCTGCCGTTTTGCATTCCCACCAGCAATATTAAAATCGTCCAATTTTTCTGTATTCTTTTCGGGCTTGGGGGTGTCCTTATTTTTTAAACATTCTGATAGGTAGGAATGATAATTTATTGTGGTTTTAATTTCTATTTTCCTAACGGCTAAAGGAATTGAACCTTTTTTAAGGTGATAATTTGTTATCCATCCCCCCTCCCCTTATAAAATAGCCTTTCATATCGTCTTTACCTTTTAAAATTGGGATAATTAAATTAATTGTTGGATTTTTTTTTATTGCTGAGTTTTGAGAGCTTTAATTTTTTTTTTTTTTTGGTACAAGGGATTGAACCCAGGGGGCCTCAACCACTGAGTCACATCCCCCAGATTCCTCTTTTTTTATGTTGTATTTTGAGACAGGGTCTCACTTAGTTCCTTAGGGTCTTGCTAAGTTGCTAAGGCTGGACTTGAACTTGAGAACCCCCTGCCTCAGACTCCCAAGCTGCTGAGATTACAGGCATAAGCCACCACACCTGGCAAGAATTCTTTATGTGTTATAGATAATAATCCTTTGTGGGATATATGGTTTGGAAATATTTCCTTGCACTCTGTAGCTTGTCTTTTCATCTTCTGAAGAGTCTTTTTCAGAGTAAAATTTTTTTAACTTTGATGAAATCTAATTTGTTGAGTTTTCCTTTTATGAATTGTGTTTTTGGAAGTCAAGTCTAAGAATCCAGCCTAAGCCCTAGATCTCAAAGAGTTTTTTTTTTTTCCTAAAAGTTTTATAGTGTTACATTTAAGTCCATGATCATTTGCTCTAGCATGTTTATGAAGTGAGAGATTTATATTGAAGCTCATTTTTTTCTCCAATGGATGCTTACTTGTCCCATTGAGTTAGGTTTTGTAAAAAAATAGTTAGGTATATTTATGTGACTCTGTTTCTGAGTTCTGTATTTTGTTCCATTGAGCTATATATCTATTTTTCTAATAGCAAACTGTCTTGATTATTATATCTATATAGTAAACCTTAATATTGGGTAGAGTGATTCTTCTTACATGTTCTTTTTTTCCAAAATTGTTTTAATTATTCCAATTATTTTGTCTTTCTACAAAAACTTTGATTACTCTTGCACATATCTACAAAAAAAATCTTCCTAGGAACAATTACTGTAAAAAAAGTATGAGAAAATAAGGAAAACTAAACTTATGGACTTAAAATTAGTAATTAGTTTAAAGACATTTAAAAAATATTCCAGACTGAATACATACTTTTACAATCTTTGTGACCCTTGCTAATCTATTAAAATCTGCTTTTTTCTTATTTTACTTTTTCTTCTTTAATAACACTGTACTGATAGTTTTTTTTGAATCCATATTAAATACATTTACTATTTAATACATTTATTAAATAGTAAATTAAATAGTAAATGCTACAACTTCCAAGTGTGATGAGATTAATAAAAATAGAAATGTAGACTTTGGTGAAGAGTAATAAAAACACAGGTAGGAGCCAGGTTCAGAGGCACATGTCTGTAATCCCAGTGGCCCTGGAGGCTGAGGTAGGAGGATTGTGCATTCAAAGCCAGCTTTAGCAACTTAGAGAGAACCTAAGCAACTCACTGAAACCCTGTCTCAAAATAAAATACAAAAAAGGGCTGGGGATATGGCTCAGTGGTTAAGTGCCCGGGTTCAATACCTGGTACAAAACAAAAACAAAAACAAAAACAAAAACAAAAACAAAAAAAAAACAGGTAGGAAAGAAAAAAGATAAAGTAGAAGGTCCCTCTTGAGAAACCCAGGACTTGTAAGACCTTTTCTTGTTCCTATGTTGTGTAACAGGACAAATAAAGGTTTGTAAAGATAGTGATATAAGTCAGAGTAGTGATTTTTTTTTTAAATCAGAAACATAAAATTCAATGATCTGCTTTTTATAATATTTACTGTAGCACATGGCTTTCACATTTCCAAATCTTTTCTCAATTTTATAAACCAGATATGGGGGAGGATGAAGAAAACTATAACCATCCTGGTTCTTATTGCATGTTCCCAACCTAGAGTACAATGCTCCTTTTTATCTCTACACTGAGAACATATAAGAGGCAAGTGGCATAACGAGATCTGGAGGATTAGACGAGAGAGATTTAATACATTTTGCCTGAAACAAGGAAGCGTCAGGAAGAGAGAGGAGCGCACATTCCGATTATAAAATACCTTCCAGGAACAAAGTGTAATGGAGGAGGGAAATTATTCTAAATCTCCATGTAGACAAGGAAATGGCCTGAAGATAAGGAAGATAACATTTGATGTAGATATTAATAAAAGAGTTTCTATACATCAGAAATTCTGAACACTTAAGAGGCCTGTAATGAAGAGGAAGAGTGTCCCCATCACTGGGGATCCCATAGCCACACCCAGCTGGGGACAGGCAGACTGGAAGATTAGTAGCCCTTAATAGTGGGAGCTATTTTAATGATATTCTCTCCAGGAAATACAAATGGTGTCCTTTGGGAATAACGACTCAAGGAACAGTTTTGCAACAGACTTCTGTATCTAAAGAAAGAATTTATAGGTCAACGTAAAGCTCCTAGCGGCATTCAATCACAGAGCAGGCCTCGAGATAGAAGGTGATCTTTTAATTTTCTCTAGTCCTCAAGCTGATATTGCTAGAAATGCCCAGAAAGCAACATTGACCTCCAAGTTGGCTGATACTAGAGGCATTAGGTGAAGAGACATCACTGTTTGTCTTTCTTACTATGAATATTTGGAGAATTTTTTTACTTCTGGTTTTGTGTGAGAAAGAAAAGAACACAAATAGAATACAAATTAAACTTGCTATGTCATGCTCACTGTAAACTCTTTCATGTTGAATATCATGGGCGGGTATAAGGAATCCTTAATCTTCCTAAGTATGTTTAATAATGTATCATTATTATGTTAAACTAGCATAACTATGCCCTTAAATCTAAATTATCTGTATGCATGCAGTTCTTGGTTTAAATAAAAGACTCAAAGAGATCTATTAATCTGACTTCTAATACATATATATATATATAATATATATATGTACATATATTATATATATTATTTGAAGTAGATATTAATAAAAGAATTTCTATACATCAGAAATTCTGAACACTTAAGAGGCCTATAATGAAGAGAAAGAGTGTTCCCATCACTGGGGATCACATAATAACCACACCCATATAATAATATTATATATCATAAATTATAATATATAATATATAAAATTATACATTACATTGTATATTTATATATTATATATTATTAATGTATTATATTTTTATGTTATATAATATATATTCTAATACATATAAATAATACTATATTATTACATATATATCTTACATATTAAAATCCCTATTTATGGGACATGCAACTTAGAGATTTCTGGGGGAAAAAACTGACAAGTACAGCTATTTCCTTGTGGCAGGCTGAGGAAACACTGCTAATGGAGGGCCAAACTCCAAGCTGTTGACAAGATGACTTCTGAATATGATGGCCACCTTGAAAAACATGTAAAGATGATGGCCTCAGGGAAGAGATCATCCATCAACAGCCCTGGTTACATGTGGCATTTAGGATATTTCCACATGTGAGATGGCTGGCAATGCAGGAAGCTTGGGCTTGGGAACCATAAGGCTGCCACGTGGACAAAGTGAAGCTAATTTCAAAGTCCAGCTAGAACAAACTATTGCCTCTGTCCCGCTCATCCTTTATGAGGATTCGTTTATGAGGTTTCTCATTATACTTGTGGAGCCGGGATGAATGTCAAATCAATAGCCATTCATTGTTTCATCTAATACATATGCATCGATTACCTCCTGTGTGGAGGCTGGGTGCACCTGATCTTATCATCTTAACACCATGGATTTGGGCCATAGAAAATTTTAGAATTGAAACAAATTACTTAGGCTACCAGAAACATAATAAGAAATGAAAAATTAATATTGACTTAGGGTGTGCTTCTTAGGGAAACATTTCCAAAGA